ATCGTGATGAGGTAGGGGTAGTGGAAGCGGTGATGATTGTTGGAGGTTATGGTTCTCTAGTGATGGTGCGGTGGTGGCAGTGATCTTGTTACTACTAATGCGCGAGCGAAGCAACGGTCTGCCTCCTCGTTGGGGATCTTCGTCTGTCGTATTGCGATGGACTCTCCCATTCAGGATACTCCCATCACAACACATCACTCCTAGCTTGCCCTCGGGACATTTCCAACGTTGCTTGAGGCTGACAGCTCCGCCCAGCTACATCTACGGTCCATATTTCGAATAATATTTACTTATGGATTACTATTTCGTATTTATGGGTTATTTCTCTATTACTCTACTTATGTCACGTGATGGTTCCTTCTGTCGCCAATAAAACTCCACTCAGTATGCTCGCCTGCTTTGTATTTCCGTTTTCCATGAAACACTTAGGCCCTTCTCGGTCAATCATTTCGACCAATTTCCGGACCGTCGCTTCATCAGGTAGCCCATATGGCTCAACTCGGTAGCTCTTTTAGAGATGAGGGAAGCGGTTTAATACGTGTCGTTCCTTTGTAGTCTGTAGGGGCATAACGAACATCTTTTTATTCTGAGGGTGGAATGAGGAGAATGGAAGAGAGAAGTACCAAGATGACATTGTGGTTGGGAGAATTCCACCACACCAAATAACATAATCGCATCTGCGGACGAGGCGGATTTCGAACCCTCAACCCTTAGAACTGACTTTACTCAGGTGAGTTCGATTTAGCGATCTCGGCTGCCAACGTGGATCCAACACGAGTACTTGTAAGGTCCGGATAAAGTGAGAATGTGGTTGACAGATGAGTTCAGGGGGATGGCATTACTGCGTATCACGTAGTCGCGTACTACGTCACGGTATACCTACCACGACACGATATGCAATTAACATAAATACCTGATCAACAAGCATTCGCTACTCGCAATATGCGATCAAGCAACTCATCTTCTCACAATTAACTTCACTCTCAACGCCTGTAAGATCGTTCAGGCTCATGAGAGATTCGATTCATTTGTTCTAAAAGTGAAGATGACAACACTGCAAATGCCGAAGGTTCTGATTCGCTGTTGCTTAGGCTACGCATCTGACGTTACCACGAAACGGCCGTCAACATCAGTCTATTTTATACCCGACTGCGAGAAGCAAAATGGAGATCTATGTGATTCATGGTGGTGTACCTGGGTTGCTTCGTTACTACTTATCATCTGATTCGACTAATATTAGGCGACTACCTATGTTTACGTTCGTCTTCATATCGTGAATGTCACAGGCTTCATAAAGTACCTAAAACTACATGGCGGACACTAGGAAACATTTTCGTTGTTGTTTGTTTATTGTCAGAAAGACAAAGTACCTTTTGTGAGGTATGGATAAATTATTGATTTCGTGTACGTCATATGCTAAATAAATTTTCTAGAAACCAATACGGAGAACAATAGGCTCCATTAGGTTGATTTACTGTTCATTGACCAAAATCACATTTTTAAACTTAGAGAAGTGGCGCGCAGTTGGGGAATATTTACGTTCTCGTCTTACTTCATAGGAAAGGAAAATGTTTCGGCATCGGAAGAGAGGCGTCGGAATGGACAGTTTGCTTTATTTTTCTTTTTTTACAGAAAAATCTTACTGACGGGCACTGATAACATAAAAGTGGGTAAATGTTTTTCCCATATGTAGTAAATAGCTTCATATAACAGATTGTGTACTCCGAATCCAGATTTTGTGGGTGATTTTAATAGTGAAATATCGTCTGACAGTAAAACGTGTCATCTGAGGTGAACGCTAGAGCCTAAACCGTTCGGACGATTTTCTTCAAAATTTATATTCCGTGAATGATAACAAATATGGGGACTTGAACACATATTGATTTTTTGTTCTTTACAAGAAGCCACAACATTTTCATAACTTTCTAAAACAAGGCACCAATTTTTTATTAAAATCTGTGTTCGGGTAGTGTAAAGAACACTTAAGAGAATAGTGCAGGTGTTGTTTCCGTTAAAATCCCTGATCTTTCAAAAATTGCAAAAGTTCAAATATGTTTTGAGTGTCATTACAACTACAATATTGAATATAGATATTATTTTCTGCTGTCCAAAGGCAGCTCTTTAAACAAGGTTAACAATTTTAGGAAAGTATGAGTAGTTTTCGCAAACTTTTGCTTGATATGTAATCATTTTTAAACAATTTTCTTAAAAACGGCTCCTATTTGTCATTAATTTTCTCCTCGTATGTAAAGAACAATAAAAAAATAGTGGGCCTGGTCCCAGTTTGGGCAAACTGCCTGTATTTTCGAAAATTGCAAAAAATTAACATGTCAAATGTAGGCCTTCAATATTGAAAATACAAACTTTTGTCATAAATAAAATCAGTTTCAAAAATCTGTTCTTTAAAACACGTCATGTACAATTCTCAATGATCAGTTTTCACGTAATTTCTGTTTAAAGTTAATATAATTTATACAAACACGTGCTCAATGATTTTCTGTATTTTTTCACGATTGGAGTAAAGGACGCTAGAAAATGATACAGGTCCCATTTTCGTTGAACTCTCTGAATTAAAGAATTCGGTACAACAAAGGGCTATTCCACTCTCACCTATTTCTGACATATTGAGGGTTTCCTAGGAACTTTCATAAAAAACATAGTACAATTTATACTTTTAAACACAGAAAACTTGCTTATAATTCCAGACTGGTTTTAAATAATACATTACACTAAAAGAATAATATTTTAAGTTACATTTAATTCTAATAACTCAATTTCACAAAAAAATGGAATAGAGATAGCCCAGTGCGTACTGAGCCCTTCAATCATCGAAAGTTTCCCAGGATCTACAGATTGCGAGGAATTATGTGCTGTTGAACCCCACTAGATATTTGTACTTTTTCTTCTCTTGCATTTCCTTCTTTCTTATATGGCTACCTCTCGGTATAGGTAGTGTAGTCGGGACGTAGTGTAGGCGCCGTGGAATATCGCGTCGCGTGACTGTGCGGCGGAGCGCCACGGTCGCGCGTGCGGGAGGGGGCGTGGCCGAGGAGCAACTCGCCAACTCCGCCCGCGCCCGCCGCACGCGCCACCGTCGGCCGACGCGGGCGAGCGTGAATTTTTAATCGGTCCCCGCTCGTGTGCGCTGCGCCCTCGCCTGCGCTCCACCCCTTCC